TGAGAAGCATGGGCGCCTTCTGTGACTTCGAGAAATCGACTGCCATCGTGATTTGCGTGATGCTGCTGTGTCGAACTCGGAGATCACCGGGATGTGTGCGTGGCGTGTGTGTGGTGTGGCATGGAAAGTGATAACTACAGTTGTGTGCGCCAGCTGGTGTGCGCGTGTTGCTCGTGAGAGAGAAGGGGGCCCCGTGCCGCGTGCTTTATGTAAACGAACCAAAACGCCTCCGAAACTCACAGTCCCGCCGAAGATATTTTTCTCGTTCCCATAACAGCGGTACTCAAATCTTCCTCTGACAAATATTCGCACGCAAATGTTTGGAAACTTTTGAAGATTTTTTTCAAAGATTTGGTGACCATAAACATGGGCCTTATCGCTTCCGTATAACTTCCACCGGGAGCAAGTGACCATGCTCTCGACTACTTTTGGGGGAGGACATGTGAAGTTACGATTGCATTTTCTACCAGCCCGGCCTAGCGTCCCTGCCTCTAGCGGACAACACCGCTGTTGCCAACAGCCTTTCGCTTCCTCCTTCAGGAAAACTATTTTCTGTTTCGGATCCATGTCTCATTCACCAGGAGGATTGCTGGGTTGTAATGCCAAGGAAGTCTGCTGCAAAACTACCCATCATGCTCTCAATTCTTTTTCAGGGGAGAAACAGTTCCGATTTCGAGTTCCATCCACTGCAGAAGAGATTGCGCGTGTTCATGACCATGCACTTATTGCATTTCCCTTCCTGCTTCAGGGGAGAAAACTTTCGATTCGATTTCGTTTTCATGAGGAAGATTGCTGGTGGAGTGCACTGCCAACGAAGTCACTGCTTTCAGGGATCAAGATTTCGCTTTCGATTTTGTGTCCCTTCCACGCCGGGAAGATTGCTGGAGGAGTGCGCACTGCCAACGAAGTCATTGCTTTCAGGGTAGAAATTTCGCTTTCGATTTCGTGTCCCTTCCACGCCGGGAAGATTGCTGGAGGAGTGCGCNGATTTCGCTTTCGATTTTGTGTCCCTTCCACGCCGGGAAGATTGCTGGAGGAGTGCGCACTGCCAACGAAGTCATTGCTTTCAGGGTAGAAATTTCGCTTTCGATTTCGTGTCCCTTCCACGCCGGGAAGATTGCTGGAGGAGTGCGCATTGCTTTCAGGGATCAAAATTTCGATTTCGATTTCGTGTCCCTTCCACGCCGGGAAGATTGCTCGAGGAGTGCGCACTGCCAACGAAGTCATTGCTTTCAGGGGGGAGATTTCGCCTTCGATTTCGTGTCCCTTCCACCGGAAAGATTGCTGGAGCGCACTGCCTGCGAAGTCATCGCNGTTGCTCGAGGAATGCGCACTGCCAACGAAGTCATTGCTTTCAGGGGGGAGATTTCGCTCTCAATTTCGTGTCCCTTCCACCGGAAAGATTGCTGGAGCGCACTGCCTGCGAAGTCATCCCTTTCAGAGGAGAAAATTATTGTCGGTTTCGATTTCGAGTCCTATCAAGCAATTTTTAAATTCGTATCCCAACCTTTTCTAGCATCTCTGCCTCTATCGGGCACAATTGTGGCATTTTGTCCCATCCACCGGGAAGGTTGCTCGAGTGCCACGGAAGTCTGCTTCATGATGAGCCATGCTCTCAATTGCAAAATATTCCTCACCAACACAGGAGCCCTATGATTTCCTAAATATATCATCAAACCCTTGACATCGCATTCAGCCTTCTGCGAAGCGGCGGACCGCAGGGCCAGCCGCGTAGCCCTTGTATATATATCCTATGATGTGAAGTTTTTTACGTCGACAAAGGGATTTCCAGCGCGCTCTCTCTCTTGGCTGGCTTTTTTTCTTTTCCCTTGTTTGGTTTTTGGCTTTGCCCAATTACCTTACTCATTCGCCTACATACCTACCTGCCTGTCGCGTGCGTGCTTGTCTTGTATCGCGCTGCCGCGCCACCGCGTCGCCTTTCATGCATGAAAAAAGAAGCTCATTTGTTTTTTTTCTTGTATTTTATTTCGACCTCGCGCGGACCGGCCGGCCGGCGGCAGGTGCGCCGTCGCGGACGAAAGATCCGTGCGGCAGGGCCTAGTCCACGCCTTCGTCAGCCGGTGGACAACGACGGCGTCGGCGTCGGAGGCCTCGCCGATCAACGAGCTCGAGGTTATGCGAGGCAGCGCGATCGAGTGCACGCTCTTCTCGGCGATGGCCATAGGCGGCCTCATGCTGGGGTGCCCCACGGTGACGGTGTCCCGCCACCTCGCGGCGGCGCGGCAGTGCCTGGGCAGGTTCCGCAGCAGGCTCTGCGAGCAGAGCGCCGTCGCTGCCCTTATCCTGTACGGGCTGGCGAACGCTCTGCTGCCGCCGTGCGACGGCGACGGGCAGCGGGAGTACCGGTCGAGCATGGACCACGCCGAGGAGATATTCGGGTCCCTGGAGCTGCAGGACCCCTTCGTCAACGCCTTCATGATGTACCGGGGCACGTGCGACAACCTCGTGGCCTTCATGCCCGACACCTTGTACTCGGTGAACCCCGTCAACATCTCGGGGAGGCGAGGAGGCGTGACGGCACCGGCCCAGGCCTCCACCAGTGGTGGCGGCGGTGGCGGAGAGGGGGACGGCGACCAGGCGTGGAAGACGCCAGGGGGTGCTACGACGGCGGGGGCCAAGCAGGGAGCGGACGCGATTCGCGTGTCGTCGGCGAAGCCCGCTCATCCCGCGTACGTCGTCGCAGACTGTGAGTTTTAAGTGTGGAGATTTTTGTTTTTGGTGGGAGGCCGAAAAAATGGAGGAGCGGGGAAGGAGTTCTTGTTGACGTGCGGACTGAAGCAAGCGGGCGCAGCGCAGAGGCAGTCAAGTGAAAAGCGTCGTCCTACTACTTTAGTGCGATCCCGTGTAGAGGATACTTGCATGCATGTGTGCCTCCGCTGTAGGTCATCACCGCGCGAACGGCGCTCGAAAGCGCGGCCGCGAGTGGACGTACGTGTGCTCCTCCCTTTTCAAGCCCGTAGAGACCTTGATGTCGAGCCACGAGTGAATGAACGAGCTCAACAGCAGTGTACGAAAGGATCTGTGCCGTGCCCCCTGTGGCTCATGCTCGACTCTGGTGAGCGTGCACGCGTGCCGCATCACGACAAAGCTGTTTCCACGCACACACCCGGTGGCCCAGGTACATGGAGGTGGTAGGTTCCGAAGCTCGAAACTGCTGTGCTTTACAACAGGAGCCCGTCTCCACGCGCAAGCTTGGACGGGGGGAGCCTCCTTCTCTTTGTTCTTCACGGTTAGCTAGCTATCTTTCGATCTTGGAGAGAAACCGAAAAACACGCCCCTTCATTTTTTCCGGGAAGGGGTGCCCTCTTGCCGGCAATGTTCTCCAGCGCCAAGGAGCCCTCCCAGTCGAAGCAATGGAACACCCTGACCCCGCCCCGCCCCGCGTCGGACCAAGATTCCAACGTGGGATCAGAATCAGTAACCTCCTTGGTTGATATTGTCTTGAGAGGCCCCCTTGCCAACGCCTGGATCTGCAACGTATGTGCGCGAGTAGTGATTTGCTGTGCGATTGGATTGCAGCAAACGTGCGCGGCTCGTCTCGCCTATCCCGGGACCTCTCTCGTTTTAGCACCAAGAGCGAAAGCTCGTGACGTGACGTGTGTTGGACCATCCTTCGCTGACAGATTGAAAGGGGTGTAGTTTCTACAGTCAAAATGGTAATTTTTCATTGACCATTTGTTTATTGGTACTCCGTGTAGAATACATGTCGTGTGCGGAAACGGTTCCGATTGAAGTCTGTACTTGTATGAAATGGTTCCGATTGAATCAGGTGCTCGGCATCAAGAGCGAAAGCGCGTGACATGTGCTGAACAACCTTCGCTGCACGTGGTTTGAAAACGGTTCCGTTTGAAACACTTCCGTTTCATACTCCGTTGCAGAACTTGGAAAATAGCTGCTTTCGCCCATGGACCAGCTTACCACCACCCGCACGGCCTTTCAAAGGGCGAGCGCGAGGGTGAACCTTCGTTTGTCGTCGAATCCGCAAGATGAGGTGTTGGTTGTTGATGTGGCTCCAGGGAGCGAGTGAGTGCAGTGGTTGCGCATCCTTTTTGCCCTTTGGTCCATGCTCGACTCGAGGAGTAGGCGTTTTCGCATACTGCTGTACGATACGGAGTATTGATTTCATCGCTTTTTGTTTGTCCGCCCGCCCAATGGTTGTCGACGTTTTTGCTGTTGTACTCGGGTATCAATTTTTGTGTCTACACACGGCAGCGATGACGCTTGTCTTGCGCTTCGTGTGCATGGAAGGAGATGTGAGGACGGGCTGGGCCAACGTCCACGACTTGATCAGCACGGAGTTGAGCCGACTTTTCAAGGAGCAAGCGGGCGCGCTGGTGAGCAGCTAGGAATCATGCGTGAACAAACTGTTCTGTATTAACCGCTCGGCCGCCCGCTCACCTGTCCGTCGTCCGTCCTTCCTACCGAAGCCAATCAGGCAGTCACTCCTTTGGAAACTCAGTTTTTATCCAGCCCCTGAAATCTGATAAATCGCTTGTGGATTTTACGTTGCGCCGCTCATTTGGTGTTCCTTTCCAGGTGCTGACCACCCTGGCGGGAAACCTGATAGCAGCCAAGTCTAGGATCGGCACGTCTGAAGGCATGCTGCCGGTGGCTGAGATGGTGCTTGCGATGTTCTGCAAGTGCCCCGGCTTGTTGAGGTGAAATTTGAGGGGGAGGGGAAGAACGACGGGCTAGACGGGTTGTGGCGGATTTGTTAATTTATTGCAGGCGATGAAAATGCTGCTGTGTGAGGTTTTTCGGAACCTCCCGCCGCTCCGGAGTATCCCCAAACTCCCGTTCCCACTATCTTCCTGCCCCCGCCCCCCCCCTGCTCGTTTCGCTGCCCCCGTGGTTCCCGCCTCGTCGTGTGTTGCCGTTGTACGGCTTGGCTTTTCTTTTCCTTCCGCCGCTCGGGACAATATAAAGGCACTATTCACTCCACAACGCTCACCTGGCGCTGACGGCGTTCAGGCTGTACAATCGCAGGAAGTCTTTCGATGCCCTGAGGGCTCTGGTCGTGGCGGCCACGGAGCAGGCGATGGCCACGTTCGACGAGTTCGGCGTGGGCGTCGCCATCTGTAGCACCGACGTGTGCTGGATGTGCTCCGATACGATCTTCACGACGGGAATTTCGCCGAGTTGCGGCGGTGGCGGCGGCGGCGGCGGCGGCGACGGGCGTAGAATTTGCAGCATCAGCAGCGTCAGCAGCGTCGGCAGCACCGGCGGGGGTTGCGGCGAATCGGCGGCCCCGAGCTTGCCCGGTAGCGTGAAAGAGCTCGGCGGCGAGGCAGGAGAAGCTGCTACTCGAGGTCCGGGGCGACGGCAGCGCCCTCACCCTCGCCCCCACCCTCCTCCCTTGAGGCAGGCGTCAAGCCAGGGCAAGGGCCACGATCTCGCCGCCCGCCCCCCGTTCTCACCTTACGTGAGCGACAGCAGCAGAGGCGGCTGCGGCTTTTCTGAGGTGACGGCGGGGGCGGCGGCGATGACCGGATCGGGCTCCCAGCGGCAGGAAGCGTGCCGAGGGCTTGCGGTCGCTACCACCAAAGAGGAGGTTTCGTACACGCCCAGGGCCGCTGTGTCGTCGCCGTCCAACAATTCCGCCGTGGACGCGGCAACGTGGCGGACGGACGTTTGGGACGACAGCGCCGTCGCGGCGTCGGGGAAAGACCCGGCGGGCGTCTTGGACTGCTTCGCGGAGCCGCCGTCTACGTCGCCGTTCGGAGCAGCGGCGGCGGCGGCGGTGGCGGCGGCGGGATTGGCGTTCCCCCTTGATCAGGAAGAGAGAGTCGGTGGCGGGGGCGGGCAACGGCTGCTGCTGTACCCGCAACAACAACAGCAGCAGCAGCAGCAGCAGCAAGAGCTGGCCTTAAAGGAGCAAGGCCCGCCGACGGACCAAGGCAGAGGGCATTTTTGTGGCCTCACCATCGCCGCTGGGTGGGGCGGGGGCGGGGGCGACGGCCACCGACTGCAGCAAGGGCGAGGAGGGAGCGGCAACGACTCGCTGCCGGTTGCGGCGCCCATGGGCTTGTCTTCCGGCGGCGTGGGTCTCGGGGTGACGGTAGAAACCTCCGCCGCGGCTCCTCCCCGCCGCCGCCGATCCTTGTCGCCAAGGCACGGCGGCACCAGTGGTACGCCCAAGTTCATGGCGGCGGCTGCGTCGGCGGCACCAGTTCCGTCGCATGGCGGCGGCGTGGCGTCGTCCGATTCGAGATCGGGTTGGGAGCAGTTCTGCGCGGGCGGCGGCAGCGGCAGCGGCAGCAACGGCAGCGGCGGCGGCGGCGGCAGCGGTTGGACCCGTCGGCGAGACGCCGAGCTCTTTGACGATTCGACCCCCCGGGACCCGTGGACGCTTGCCTCCGGAACAGCGGGAGGAAGGAGCCAAGCAGGAGGGGGAGGGGGAGGGAGGGACAGAAGCGACGGGAGTGTATATGGATATCCCCCGCTCCCGGGCCCTCACCACTCTCACGTCCGAGGTCGCCTCTCGGCCTCCTCGCCGGCCGGCGGTGGTTGGGCGGGCTCCGCCCGGGCGTCTCGAAACGAGGCAGCCGCGGAACAGCAGCATGGCTTCTTGGACGCATCGTCTTGGTGTGCCCCGGGCGGCGTCGACCAGAATATGCTGCAGAGCGTGCTGCCGCCGCCGTCGGCGGCGGCGGCGGCAGCGGCGGCAGCGGCGGGTGGCAATGGTGGGCGTGATTTCGTGAAGGAGCCCCCCCGGCGGTCCCTCTGGAAACAGGAAGGCTGCCCCCGCGGTAGTGAATCGGACGAAGCAATGGCGATCAGAATCGGCGGTGGCAGCGGTGGTGGTGGCGGCGGCGGCGGCGGCGAGCCTCAACATTTTCGCCAGCTTCAGCTGGACGAGGCTGTGAACGTCGGTATTGGCGGCGGCGAAAGCTGGGGGGCTGCTGTGCGTGGCGATGATGCCGGTGGCCGGGGACCGGTAGTCGGCGATGGGACAGACCAACACCGACACGTGCGGGGCGGCGGTTGCGGTGGCGGCGGCGGTGGCGGCGACGGTGGCGGCGGCGAGGCAGGAGGGGCAGTGTGCGCTGACCTTGTCGGCATGCTGCTCGATGACTAGGTTTTTGTTGACATAGAGCAAAAAAGTGGGGGGAGGTTGTGGCGTGTCGCGATAGTTTAACTGCTCTGCCGCGGGGACCGCCTGCCAGTGGTGCTCGAAGCCGAGCGCTGCTGTTGCGCTCGCCACATGATTATTGCCAAGGGAAGGCTAGGCGCGAGCGCCATAATATATCCATGTTGGGACTGGGTGGAGCCTGTCTTGTGATTTGTTCGCCAGCCCTCAAAACATAAAATTGGTTTTAATTGTCTTGTTGTTCTTCCTTGTTCCTGTCTGTGCTCACGTTTTATTTGCTGGTGATGCCGACGATTTCGGCGCTACGCGGTTTATTATCAAAGTTCGGGCTGATAGGGGTGGTAGGCCATAGGGGCCCGAACGTTGAGGTACAGCTGTCAAGCTTGTGACATTTAACGCTTGCGAGCAAGCGTCCATCTTCGGCGCAGGCAAACTTAGCGTGTGTGGTTGATGTGGACGTTAAGTGGTCGTTTGGGGAGGTTTCGAGCTTGACTACCCCTTCCCCCCCCCCACCGGGGCTAAGCATCGTGGGTCTCGGCACGTATGCACGTTTTTGATGCGGGCGCTCGATTGTTGAATGTTTTGACTTTTTGATGGACATGTGTCACCCCCTCACGATTAATACCTTCGTTGCTTTTACTACGGTACATAATATTTTGGTTCGGGCCACACAGCAAGGACGGCGCCCGGATTATTGTGAGACTTCCGTGCTTTCCACGCACACGGAGCGATGTTTGAGAGGGTAAATAGCCTTCCCGGTACGAGAATGGCCGTACTACTATACAGCAGCCTTCTTTTTGTCGGCGTTGTGGCAAACGGGGTGGGCAAGCAGCCTTGGCCACTAGTACCCTCTAGCTCCGTGCAGTCGGGTGTAAAACGGACTTATAGAGTTTCTTGGGTGTATGTTGTTGCACGCCTCAGCTCGCAAGTACTTTACAGGTGTTTCGAGTGTCCTGAGGATTGGTTTCGGGCGTAGTCATGAGCGTCTGTCTTTTCTTGAGAAGAGGGCGAGCGGTGTGTTCAGTCTCCTCGCGGTGCGACTACCGGAGGATCCTTGGGGGTGAATGAGTGTGTGGTCAGACAGACAGCAGGCCGTGTGTCTCTTTTTTCATCTTTGAATGTACTTTGCCTGCTTTCCCCGCCGAAACATCCTTGTGAACGTGAACGTTATGGTCATGTTTCTGTTCGGTTCGGCAAGCCACCTGCATGGTCCCCCGTTTTCATCGTTTTTTGTCTCAAGTGCGTTGACTACCGGTTCGAATTGTATCACGCCCCCCCCCCCCCCCCCCCCCCCCCCCCCCCCCCCCCCCCCCCCCCCCCCCNCCCCCCCCCCCCCTCCGCAACTCAGCGTGGTGGTGTCGTTGTAGTTGGTACAACAAGTCCCCCTTGTGTGCGCGCCTTCTTGTTTCCGTTAGCAGAGAGGTCGTGGTGTGTTGCTTCCTTGCAGCAGTTGACCGCGCCACCAGCAACGAACTGACGGGGCACAACTGCAAGCGAGTTAAGTGTGCGTGGTTTTCTTGCATTCCGTCGTTGTTCTTTACTTGTTTTGTCGTTGGGGAACTTTAGCCTAGCCCCAAAAGTACGGTAGTTATGTGTTGTGCGCCCCCACTGCGGGGGTTGTCATTGTAGATCGTTGAAGTACGGCAGGGAGGTAGATGTGTTTCTTTGTAGGCATCGACTACGCTACCCGGGTAACCGTTGAAAAAGATGCTAGTCGTGATGCGTCTGAGTTTGCGTGTGTTCTTTCTTCTCTGTTCTGTCTTGGATGTGTAGCCCAGCCCCGGAATTTAGTGGGTGTATATGTGTGTTGCGTTTTTACTCTTTTGATTTGCGTTGCATCGGGGCAGCTGGTCAACGTCAGCCAGCGAGCGGAGGACGGCCGTTGTTCTTGCTTGTGTTTTAAATAGTACTTTCTGTTCCCGCTCCCTGCTTGTACTTGGTAGTAAGTCTGGCCCTAAAAAGCAATCCAGCATGTGTATGTGTATTTTCCGACGCTTGCTGTGTGGCGTTCTGATGAATGAAGTAGATCAGCAAGGTGTGCGTGTGTGATATTCCTCTTTTTGTCTTGTATATGCAGTCGAGTCCGCGCCATAGCTGGGCTTGCTGTGATGCAGTTATCTGTATGTGCGAACCCATTTACGTACTCTTAGATAATATTTAGTTCACCACACGATATGTCACTTTTTCTTTTTCTTTTTCAAAGGAAAAACAGATTGGTGCAGATTGCGGGTGACCCTTCTTCCTGCTCCTCCCACGTGTCTACCATGAATGTCGGGTAGTGGGGGGAGATGTGGTGAGCAAATCGGCCTTGTTGGCTTAGTGTTTTTCACACAGACATGAGTATGTGCAACAGCAGGTGAGTGTTCTATTGGTGTAGCTTTGTGGGGTATGTTGAAAGAGACTAAGATGTAGCTTGGAGGCTTTGGGGTCCGCCTGTGGGCAGGAGGGGGGGGGGTACTCGTGCAAGCGCATATGCCGTAGTCGGTAGACCGTAGACGTCGCACCCCTGTATTGCCGAGACGAAGCGAAATGCCTTCCGGGTTTTCGCCTGTCCAGGCTACGTTGACAAGGGTGAATCAGAAGCTGGCAGTCATCCTTCCTTGCGTTTGCTGTGCCAAGCCAGATACATTCCTGGTACATAATAGATATCGGTTACTTGGGCATTTGCGCGCTCGTACGAAGCAGGCGCGCCACACACACGCGCGCGCGAACTCGTCGCTTGGTGTGTGATGGATACACTTGGGAGAGAGTGCAGTCTGGCTGGCGGGGGGACAGCATCGGTCTTCTCTTGGTCTCGGTGCCACAAGGGGCGGCCGGGGGGGGGGGAGGGGG